AAACCCTCCAGGATCACTGGGGGCCAAACTGGCCTCGAGAAAAATTGCTTCCTGTCCCCAAAGTGGTGATCAGCATTTCCCTGGACGTGTAAGAAAGGGCCACAAGAACTAAGCACTGATGCAACCCTTCCTGCTCTACCTCTCGTGATTTGCCTAAGTTCACACAATCAGCATTATGATCCTTTTAAAGTTGAAAGCATGCTATAAATGCAAAGGACTATTTGTAAGATTATCTGTAAGACACAAGACCAGGACGCATCTCACTTCAGGCAATCACTTGACGAGACCCTATCACTCAGCTTCCATTGCCCCACACACATCCCACACTGGAATAAGAACATAATATCAGGCCATAGCACATTGCAATAAAGCCCCTACAACTGTATACAGAAATACTGAGCTTCCCTACCATTTGCCACAACTAGCCCACCACACAACCAGGATCAAGACTCCTAAGTGGACCAACAGACAGGCATACACTCATTTGAGAAACTGAGTATTACATTACAACACCTCTGGAACATTACAGATCAGTAGAGGCAGCACTGCACAGTGGTCAGAGTTGCAGATTGATGTGGGGAGACCCAGGTTTGTATTCTCACTGTGCTGGCTGAGTGACCCCAGGCCAAATCTCCCCTTCTCTAGCTAACCTACCCCACAGGGTTGTTGTGAGGATGAAATGGAGACTCATGGGCAGGGTCCCCAGCTTCCCTGGCAGGAACACTATGTTAAGAAATCTCTCACAATTATGTAGCCATAGCAGGCAGGAGGGAAGGAGGTGAATACCTCCAGCGCCAGAGACTTCTAGAGGAAGAGTCAAACTTTGGGGACTCACCCGTGCACCAAAGGGCCAAGGCAGCAGGAGGCAAGAAGCCTGAGCGAGCAGGGCTCCTCCATTCCTGGCAGAAGATGAGGTGCAGAGGTGAGAGGTGGGCAAGCAGAAGAGGCACTCAGCCAGCCGCACAAGCTGTGTGCATAGAAACTCCCGCTGCCCCATGCTTCAGGGCTACCTCGTTAAAGGAGTGTGGAGGCCAGACTTGCAAATGAGAAAAAGCAAGCTCAGGGTTCGTGGGTCGCATTTTGGGCTGTGAAAGAGGAACCGGCTCCATTCCTGGAGT